GTTCAACGGTACAATTATTTTTGATTAGAACTTCCATTCGGGAACTGCGGACTCCGATAAGCACTAAGACATTGTGGAAACCAACAATGCATAAAAGTGCATGTGCATATAGGGATAAGAGTGGAAAACAGCAATGAATACAAAGTACAACTTACTCCTTGATTAGATCAGACAACCTCTTGGTTTCGTTCGTATAGACTGGTAGTACCATGAAACGCGTGCGCCAGAATTTCAGTGACTTGAATACAGAAGGGGAAAAAAAGAATCGGTTTCTGTGGGGAGAAACGCTGAATTGCTTTCTGGTGTTCATATGACTGTTATTTAGTAAAAACCATTAAGGGAACCAAAAAGAGTAAGGCTCATGTTAAAATCAACGTCATTATTAGTAGACAGGATGAACACGCCAATTCGTGATCGCCAAACGGTTGCAGCATTTTTCGGGGCCTCAAGTAGTGTTCGTCAGGGTTGCCGTCTCTCTCCTTTTCCATTCAACTCTTACAGATTTCATTATAGAATCAACCCTATACTCGTGCGAGAATAGTGGCATCGATTTAATTCCAAGTGACAAACTATCTGATCTGGAGTATGCAGACGACATTGTGCTACCAAGTGAAAATATAGGAAAGTTGCAAGCTTTTCTGGATAGCTTGAGCGCCAGAGTATGCGTTTTGCACTTTCAAAGTGTATAATGTTACTACAACATTAGGTTGGTCCAGCATATAGAATAACTCTAAACGGGGAAGTAATGGATGGAGCAGGTGGATAAGTTTTCCTATTCGGGGAGCTACATCTATCTCACCCGGTGGACACATCACGGATGAAGTATCTGCTCGCATACAGAAGGCTCGTTTGGCATTTGCCAAATTAAGACATCTGTGGCACCGTCGCGACATCCGGCTGTCTGCGAAGGGTCGAGTGTATGCGGCGACAGTTCAACCAGTTCTGCTATACGGTGCAGAAACTTGGCCATTGAGAAGACAGGATAAAGATAGACTGTCGGTGTTTGGACATCGCTGTCTTCGCAGCATTGCACGAACCTGGTGGGGTAGCCGGATGAGCAATGCTGAGGTTAGGGACAGAGTTTTGGGTATCCACGGTCGCCCACTGGAGCAAGTGGTCGACCTGCATGGATTACGTTGGTTGGGGCATGTGTTACGCAGTCACCAGATAGGTTACCACGGCGAGCGATGTTCGTCGGGGCAGGTATTGGGTGGAAAAAAGCCAAGGGTGGTCAAGCTAAGACCTGGTATGAGTGTCTGGGTCAAATAGGTCCCGTTAGGCTCCCTGGATGGGAACCTCGGGATGATCGTAACCGATGGTTAGAGACACTGAGTGATATGGCTGGGTGTCGCAACCAGTGGCGTTCGTGCATCTTCTCAATTTCTTTGCAACCTTAGACCACTGAACTTCTCTATTTGCTGCTCGACTCTACTTTCAACTTTCCTTTCTCTATCCTATTCTTCGTCTACATGGCAGCCAAAAGACAGCAACAAAAACCGGCGCACGAATATGGGTGGTTAAAGGTTGTACAAACTGACTGAACCGACTATCCAAAACGAGTATGCGAACAATCGTGCTCCTGATATGTTCCTGTCTTCGGATAAGTGGGGTCAATTGAGGCTAAGTTATGACAATTTCCCTTACCTACTTCGAACTGCTCTCATCTTTTCCCTTAATCAAGCTTACCGCATAAACGAATATGCCTGGAGGATTTCAAACTCAGCGATTAATCGAGCGATTCCAATGGAAGAATCATAACTGAATAGCCTCAAGTGACACTTGGTCTCCATTCTTCTTTTTCTTCTCGCTAGTGAATATATCATTTTACAAGAGATCTGTGGAAAGGAAGGAACGGAGAAACGAAAGGCTTCTACATAGAAGAAATAATGAAGCGGACTAGTTAGGCCATTTCGAGGGTCCCTATGGTCACTTCGCTTTATATGACAAAAACTAAAAGCAGTTACTTTTTTATCACATACATTTTTTGTGCGTGATGAACAACAGACGGGGTGAACTCCATAGTTGCATAGAACTGCTATTCTGTGATGGAACCCGACAACCCTAGTCCCTAGAATTTGGAGTGGCGAACCACATGAAGCCCCACAAGGTTGGGCGTGGTATTGAACTGGACAACAGCAAAGCTGCGTACCACCTAAGTTGGGTGACGGTGGCGAGGTTCGAACCAAGGGCCTAGGGTCCAAAGCACACCGGTGACAGCGACTAAACCACTGCGCCACCACCACCCAGTTAATACAAAGATGATACATCTCTGTTACCGTAGAATCCTTGCGTGATAGACGCTAAGAAATACTGAACCGTTTCGCTGATTTCAAACAACTGGAATCGGAAAATTGTCCGCGACATGAGTACCATTTCATACACGAACGACAATAACATCTGCTTGTGTGACGTTGTTTTTCGTGGGTTCCGATGAAAACCAAAATGCTGAGGATAAATTTCGTATATGAAGGTCATGATGGAGTGCGTTGAAGAAATGTATCCGCCTACAAATTCCCTGTTCCCCTGATGATTTTCCACTAAGGAGCCATAAACACGAGTATTCTATAGATTGAGGGAAGTAACTTGGTTCAATAATGATTCCGTCCGTTTTCAGCCAAGTTTGACTGCTTTTCGGCCGGGCTCTAGGGTGTTTACGAATCAACTATCTCAATCGTGGTAGCGAATTGTACTGAATGAATCAAGTGCAGTTGATCCATGCGGTTTCATTTACATCAATCAAATACAGAAGTCGGAAAAGAATGCGAATTGGCCAGTCAGGAATCATTTCTGTCCTCACGGCTCTTACATGTAGTATGAGAGATGGAAAGATATAGGCCAAGCACATTCATGCGACATAGTCGCGTATTTAATCTCGAAATCCATGTTACAGACTATAAACTTGTACTCCAATTCAGAAATCTTTTAGAACAGTAGGGAAAATGACACTTGGGAGAAAGATGCATACGTTCACACTATAAATTTGATATAAAATTATGTATCACTTCGGAGCCAGAACGAAGCCGTGTTCTATTATCGCTATAACTGAACTGGGATGAATGCAGACAGGATCATTCGCGTGCAAATAAGAAAAAAGATTGAGTTGAAATGAAAATAGGTTCGGATAATGTGCACAACCATCGCTACTGACAACTGTACAAACCATTTCAAAAATAGAACAGGTAGACGACTACACTTAAGGTTTCAACAGCGTCTAGATAATCTACATCTTTAGAGTAGGGTCTGATAGAGATCTAATCATGGCTTATGGGAGAAGTTGGGGTTGCAAAATCCTCTAAACTTTCTCTTTCGTAGCGAATGGACAGATTGATGAGATCAACGAAATTCAAATCCTCATAATACAAACCCGCTGGTAGTGTGAAATGAGCTTGTGCATATCACGGAGTCATTCAGCACAAATTACTGGCGCCATTTTGGAGGAATTAATTTTGAACGGGACTACCGAACTCAGCGATTCACTTAATCCATAGCAAACAAAAGGGACAGAGAAAGATTACGTCGCGACGTGCAGCGCCGTCCGTTAATGAGTATACTGCAGTTTGCCATCCCTGGTCACACTCCGATTGGAAGTCAATTTTGAACTTCACAAACTCATTTCTGTATGATGCTTGAGCAAATTAGAATTTTCGATCATCAAACTCAGATGCACACTTCCAGATCTCCGGCGTCAATCCCCTGTCATGAGAACCATCCTATATGACCATTACGAACACTAAGGACTATGATTTTGATAACTGAAATACACTGACTCCTGGTGAAACTGTTTTCCAAAAGCCCTCAACAACGCAAGTAGGCCGATTAATGATTGTTGATTTTCCTTCAATCAATACATGACATCAAATTTATCTCTCAAATCAAATGCTTACCCTAGATTAGGGACATTTTTGAACAGAATGCTTGTTTCGTACAACGCATACTCATTAGCGTTAGGAGGTATATCGTACCGTCGATGGGTTGCCAATACGAAAAAGTGCGGAAAATTGAACAGTACCTCAAACTTCCAAGCGGAGGATAAGAGATCGGTCACTAAGGTGGTTAATAATGAATAGTTAAACTCTGTTATGCTCGATGAGCGTTCGCAGACGATCCACAGAAAAGCTCTAAGGCAAATGGT